GCGCTAGCTATTTCGACTATTAATAGCTGGATACTCTGGGGTATACATATCGGGGAAATACGGTACTTATAACAACCCAGAGTTGTAACCAATAATGGACGTAAGCATGAGTGAATAAAACACTCAAGAAAACTCAATCCAACCTAGAATTAGGCACTAACGGAGGGGATAAAATAAAAACTAAATACATGACGTTAACATGAAGCTGAGATTGGGGGTCTCTATTTAAATCTATAATACCTACTAAAATTCACTTGTACTCTTTTATTAATAAAACTACCCTAAACCCTAACCTAACTCTAAAAAAAAACTGACAAAACCTCAGCTTCAGGCGCCACAATTATTATACAAGAACCCGGAAAAAAAACTATACTAAAAAATAAGTCGTTCCGACCTTGGGAACGCGATAAAAATCAGATAAAACTCATCATTTTACCATTCAGATTGAGTTGCGCCTGTCGTAACCTAGGCCCAGTCATTATAATATTCCCGTAGCAAAGCCCTACAAAAAAAAGCAAACTTCTCCGTGTCTTTGTGGGTTAGTAATATTTTTCAGCTACGACTAGAATAACGGAGTAATACATTGTAGTAATTATAAACTGGAAAATAGAAAAAAGCGTGTGAAATCAAGAAATCAAGATTAATGGAAAAATTTAAGGATAATCTACGATCATGCCTCGAAATTTAATTGGTGTATATGATCTAATACGACTTGATCTTCTATCATGTGGTTATACAACTCATCTAAGATCTTACGATTTCCGCATGTTATTAGTTGCATATATTATTAGTAAATTGTCGCATTGCGTGATTTAACTTTACGTAATAAGTAAATTACCTTGACCATCTTCTAGGTAGAGTAGAATACGATACGTAACAACGATAACAGATTAAAATCAGACTAACGCTAAATGTAATTAGAAATTTACGCCTCGATCAAATGTTTTGGGGTGTATTTGGACTAGGTTCTGAGAAAAGGGACGAAATTTTTTTGAGCTTATCTAATCTAAACTTAGTCTAGAAACATTTTTCACCTAACGTTAAGGAACAAATGCTGTTAAGCAGTATAATTTAGTTTTTATATTTTCTTATAATTATATAAAATTTAAATTTTCCGCAAAAAAAATTTTTGCCAAGTTCGTTCCTTTTCCATTTGTTAGGCTTTTGTTAGGGTTATAACTACTGTTGAACGTTATGACTTCTCAAGAGCAAAGAGTCTTAGAATTTCAAGAAACTTCCGAAGAATCGGAATACCTTGCATTCCTACAAAAGACTGCACAACAAGCGCAGCGTCTTCAGGAAATTCAACAACAAGAGTACGAAATTATTTCTCATGATGATCCAACTACATATCCACCCGAGATCCAACGTATCAGAGAAGATATACTTGAAGCGAGTGCTCAACTTTTATATATATCAGAGAGTGAAGAGCCTTATGAATTTGTATTTATTCCGAACGATCAAATTACTTCTCTTCCGACAAACAGCGTAGATTTTGCAAATTTGATTAAACAATGTAATATCCATATAATGACAGAAGATGAGAAAACAATAGGCGAAAATCGTGTAATGACATTTCAAGAGTTTTTTGAACCTTTTACTGGAGCTAATGCACAGGACCCATATGGACAAAAAGGTGGATATAAAGAATTACAAAAGATTGTCGCTGCAGTTTTTGGTGGTAAAGATAATGTAAAAATATACAAAATTGGTGAACAACGTAGAGTTGGTGTATACATTGCCGGATTAGTCAAAAGCATTGGAATTGCAGGATTGAAAACTATAAGTATTGAAACATAAGGCCACACAAACTTAATATCTGGTTTTCATAACATGAACCTTTTGAACAGGCTCGGCCGACTGGCTTTTTTTTTAAAATTTCATATCTAAAATTTTACAAATTTTTTAAAACATGTAAAAATTTTTTTTTACAAGGTTTCAAATTTTGACCCGGCCGGGTTATGAAAACCAATTTAATTTTGCAGGCCTAATATTAACGAAAGTAGCGATCACATTTTTTGGAAAGGAAAAAACTAATTGTACATTATTTGTATATACACGGGTATTAATTAATTGATTTGCAAATCTGTGTAATATATGAATTTATGAAAAAAAATTAACCCATTGAAAGTTAGGGTAAGGGTAGCTTTAGATTTGGAAAGGGTTATAGTTTATTGCTAAAATTTTAGAATCTGTTTCATCATAACCTCCGAAGCAGTTTTATAATTAAACTTTCGAGAAATAACGATACACCGTGTATATATACTAGTGTACAATTGGTAATTGCCTTTTAGAAAACGTCATATATAACAAACCGTGCATTAATCAATAAATATTACATGTAGCATTGTAATTTAACTTTTGAAACCCCAACATTAGTTAATCGATAATAAATATTATTCACTATTTGATTCCAAATAATGGTTCAGTTACAAATTAGAAATAACCGATAGTGTAAAATTGGTAGTTGAAGATGTACCACCCATATCAGGTGTTTTCGCCTGTTTATATAAAAAAAAAAATCACATTTATTAATATGAAAAGAGATCAATTATATAAATAAGCGCATTACAAAAGCTTACCGCTCCTCGCTTTATCGTTTGTTTCACAGCATTATGAATCCTATTAGCGGAATCCCCGAGACCTAAGTGATGTAACATCATTACTCCGGAAAGGATTAAAGCCGTAGGATTAGCAGTATTATTCCCTTGGATATCTCTGCCAACATGACGACAGCCCTAAAAATAAAATCGATATTGATATTACTAGCCATAATAAGATACATTATATTAATAGGGTATCACTCTATTTACCGGTTCAAATAAGGCATATTCCCGACCTATATTTGCGCCAGGAATAATTCCAGGTCCACCGACAAGTGCCGCACCAACATTGCTTACGATATTACCATATAAATTAGGCATAACCATGACATCAAACTGCTGTGGCTTTGAAACCAATTGCATAGAACAATTATCAACGATCATGTCATCGAATTTAATTCCTGAGGCTTCATAATCTTTAGCAACCTCACGACATGTATTAAGGAATAGACCATCACCAAGTTTCCTATTAAATTAAATAACGTCAGCATAAATTTAAATCATACTTAAAATCATAATTTTACTAGGAAACATTTAATACATAATATTAGCCTTATGGACGCATGTAACCTTTTTTCGATTATTCCTAAGTGCAAAATCAAAAGCAAAACGTGCAATACGTTCTGTTTTTGTTCTGGTTACAATTTTCAATGATTCCACAACTCCTGGATAAGACTGTTATTTTTTTTAATAATTGTAATCACTCACAAAATAAGTAAAATATATATAGCATGTATCATACCTGATGTTCCAATCCTGCATATTCACCCTCCGTATTTTCACGAATGATTGCAAAATCCACGTTATTGTGACGCGTTGGATAACCTTTAATGTTTTTGATAAGAACCAATGATGCGTATATATCGAGATCTTTACGCATGGCAACATTAAATGATTGATGACCCAGCTTGGATATAGGTGTGTATAAAATGCCTGAAAATAATATCATTAATAAAATATTTCAATTTGAAATAAATCATAATACTTTTTTTTTTTTTTTTTTTTTTTTTTTGAAGCTTACCTTTTAATGCTACCTTGTTCCTTCTTATACTTTCAATACTTTGCTTAAATAAAATATCTCCTTCTTGAGTATGACCCGTGACATCAAGTTGTTCCCATTCGATTGGAACATTCGCAGCCCTAAAAATTGTTTTTACGGCTGCCGCCGTTTCTTGACCAATTCCATCACCAGGGATTAATGTTACTGTATATTTTCCTCCGTATTTTGTAGTCAACTAATCGAGAATAAGAAAAAGTACAAAAAAAAAATAAAATAAAATAAAATACCAATCACCATTTTTATTAGAAATTATATTAATCATAAAAAAAAATCCATTGAATAAATGCTATTATTCACTTGAATTCCATATTCCAAATATCATGTAAAACACTATTCCAAAAAACTTTATGAAAGTAATAAAAGCTCACTTGAGAAGTGGTTGGAACGGAGCTCACACAGCGAGGAAACCCCTTTTGAAAAGATAAACTTGTTATATATATACTCGTGAATATATGTTTTTGACATTGCACAGCTACAAAAAATCTCCGTACTTGCTTGGCGGTATGAATAATTGGCGTAGTCGCCCTAGCGAATGTTTTGAGCATTTTTGTGAACGATAATCATAAAATCATCTCTTTAGTATACAATTTTGTGATAGGTGATAAGCAATCAAAGATCAAATTTTAAATAACAATCTAGTGTAACAAAGCAAAATCTTAACCTCCCAAAAGATTAAAATTTGATCCACCATGTCGGTTCCACAAGTAATATCCGATAACCTCCCCTTTCTGGGATCCTATCATTTTCCCGACAAGTTAGCCCGCATTGGGTTAGGGTTAGTATTAGTTCCGGTCAATTTTTGTCGGGATTTTTGTTTGTCGGGAAAGTGTTGTCGGGAAAATGATAGAGACCATCATTTCTGATATCCGATAGCATATCACATAGAGTTAGAATTGGCATACCAGGAACGGAGTGATGCAATCACGAATACCAGGAACGGAGTGATGCAATCACGAAGTGTATGGTTTATACGCTGTTTGGAGTGGGATTTGTCTGCAAAATC